AAGAAAATTTGATTATAAGTGGTTTGACCTCGTTTGTGAAACTTGGTAGTGATGTCATGGGGACTTAGATAAAAGCGCCTTGTTCGAAGTCTAATGCCATGGTAGATAGGATAATTTCTAGCCCGGACTTTGGATTTAGTGCATTCCCACACTGTTTACCTAGCATTGTCAATGCATATTGCCACTCATAGCATCAAGAGACAACTCATTAAAGGGACAAACTAGCTATGAGGAAAATCTTCAGGTAGGCGACATAGAAATGACACTAGCTTCATTTTGCTAGTGTTATCAAGAGAAATTATTAGGTTTTTTCCACTTAAAGACTACTTAATTGTATCGCTTATTTATACACCTTCGGATGTGTTTTTTGTTTTACAACAAGCTAATTTCGATAGCACTATCGGCACTATTAGCCTATGCCTAAACACACCCTCTCATAAAGATTCAGATAGCGTTTGCCTGGTTTTTTCATTATATACTTTAGCTCTTTCTCGAGTGAAAGAGGCTCAATTTTCTCCTTAAGTACGACTAATTGGGCATTTTTATCCTCTAAAGATATTTTTGATTAATAGTATTCTAAGATGTATTCGCCCAATTTCGTTTAAGGTGATGAAGGACTGGTGGAAGAAGAACTTTCCCACAATGATATTAGTTGAGCAACTGCACTGTCGCGGTTTGACTTCCGCTGAGGGTGTTGATAAGACCGATGCGACGTCGAAACTGCAGTCCACTAGTCACTGGATGAGAACAACTTTTGGGAAAGCAAGGTTATGTGAAATTCAATGGAAACGTCAGCTCAACTTATATCATTGTGAGAAAATTCTTCTTCTACCAGTCCTTTATCACCTTAAACGAAATTGAGTGAATAGATCTCATATAATTGATTTATTGATAGTCACGAAAACAATACTTAATTCGAAAAATAATATTATTCTGTTTAACTCCTCTTCGTTGCCCAAGCTACTACTCTTTTAGGCGTTGGTGTACATTTAATAGGAGAAAATGCAGTCCCTTTCAACACTGGTTAACTCTTATAAATTAGCACATACTCATCTCTGTATTTTAATATGATTTTATTCTCTGATTACATTTATTTTTTAAGGAGTTTACTCAAGTAACTGATAAGGCATAAATAGGCATTTAAAATAAAACAATTCGCCTCTTTCGCGCTAAAAGGGGAGTTAAAACAATCAGCGAAACCACGAAAGTAACTATATTTGTGTTCAATTAACAAAGTAAAGGCAAACGCTTAAAAATAGAGCACCAGTCTTTCTCCTCTTCTCAAGATACGATCGAATTTAACTTTGATACTTCCATGCTTTCCTCAGAAACATTTTACTGTCTATCTAATCATTATACTGCCCTTGCTTTGCTAAGTTAGGAAAAGCACATGGGAATCAGTCCATGTTTAAAAAAATGAACGCTCATATAATACAATGCCATAAGCAATTGCAGATGAAAGATGGGTAAGTAAAATAGAAACAGACCCTAGCAACCACCCAAATCGTGCTAGCTGACTGGAAATTATAGGTATCCCTCAAATTCTGATACTTTACTTAGTTCAATGACAAAGCGTAAAAAGCTAAATAGCAGAATTTAACCTATGATCATAGGCAATTGCCTATGTTGCGGAATTGTAAAGATTATGGCACATTCCAAGAGTTAGATAAGAAGTAAATGGCGTAGCTTAGCGCCTTATAGAGGAGTGAATTAATGAAGTAATTGTATCAAATTTCTACTTAACACTTTACTAGCCCCGGCCGACCTGCATGACCCACATTGATGGAGATCAACTGATTTCATCTACTGCACACATCCATATGAAGCAAGCCAACCTTTCTAAGGGATTACTTGCTGGTTTAACGAGCAATTGTGCTTTTCCACCATTCATACCCTTCGTCTCTGGATCCTTCACACCTCCTCCTCATACGATGCCTCAGACAAGCCAGTCAAAACAGGCAGCTGAGTCTTCACGCGCTCGTAGTCCCGATTTTCATCAGCTTTCGCCTCCTGATAGCCAAGAATATCTGCAACAACCGCCAATACAACAGCATTTGGCAGCAGATGCTTCACACTCGGTTTATAAATTGCCCTCTGCCTATGCAAACTCAGAAGCTCCATTTAAACAGACCACCAGGACGTTTCCTCATCAGTTTCATTTATCCAGCAGCGTCGAAAAGGGAAGCCAGCTCAAAATTGGTACAGAGAACGCTAGTATGGTCACAAAAATGAAGAAGGAATGCAAGAATAAAGATATTCACTGCTATGCTAAGCATCTTTCTGTTGGCCGTGGTAGGACGAAGTATGAGGGCCAGAATAGATCGCGAATGGGCGTCTTACTGATGGAGAAGGAGAGTTGTCTACATCGGAAAGACGCGATGCAGCAACCACTACTGCCTTTGCAGCAATTGGGCGAGCTGAATTTGAGCCCTGAGACGTCGTGTTCACTAGCATGTTCTCGACAAAGGCATCCGAGGTTGGTCTTTGAAGAAGAAACCAGACAGAATGAGCATATCAGGAGGATCGAGAAAAGAGACACAGAACTGGGTAACATGTATTTCGAAGAGCCTGAGATATCGGTCAGCGTAGAAAAGGAGCAAAGTGCTTCAAGTTTATTGGTTCAAGAGGGCTATGAGGTAAAGATCAATCAAAGAAAGCATGTACGTAAATGAGCGAATATCTATATGCCTCAAACTTTCAAATAAAATTTAGATATATTGAAGGTATGAAGACCAAGATGGTGTGGCCTTCTGTGTGGTCGCAGTCTCCTTTCGTTGTATCGAAGTTGTTTGACCTTGTTTTCGCAACTTGGTCATATTGGTTGGAAGACTTAGAGGGACGCACCTTGTCCGGAGTCCATTGTATGCATAATCATTTTCAAAGTCGGACCGTGGACGTGTTACATTCCCAGACGTTTCGCCGGCATCGTAGTCGGCATCGTCAGCAAGTCCTGCCATTCTTAGCACCATCCAACAACTCGTCAAAGAGACAAGTGAAGCCGATCCTTTGACCAAACGTGTGCTAAGCAGTTATGGTATCTCCCCTTTTGCTCTGGCCTACTCCCATTTCCTATATCCTCCTATCACACCTTCAATTTCACCATTTTTTACTTGCTTAATTAAATGTGGTACGGTGTGCTCTTCCCAGCACAAAGATAAAGGAGTGTGAGAAGGCCGGCGTGGAGTGCGGAGGGTCCTCATGAAAGCCGCTCAAAAGTGCACACAGTACTACATTTAATTAAGCAAGTAAAAAAATGGTGACATTGAAGGTGTGATAGGAGGATATAGGAAGGGTAAATACCATAACTTATATTCGTATTAGAGTAGGGTTTCGAGACTACAAGTAAATCAGTGTAATGAGATGTATTCACCATATTTCGTCTAAGGTGATGAATGACTGGTAGTAGAATTTTCCCACAATGATATGAGTTGAGCTGGCATTTCCCTTGAATTTCACATAGCCTTGCTTTCCCAAAAGTTGTTATTATCCAGGCACCAGTGGACTGCAGTTTCGACCCTCAGCGGGAGTCGAGTGGTTAGCGTGTCAAGCTACCGTCCTGGACTGTTGTGGTTCGACTCCCGCTGAGGGTGTTGATAAGACCAATGCGAGGTCGAA